GCTTGGGTCGAAACCTGTTGAGCCAAAAACAAAACTGTTGACATAAAACAATTTCATTAAACTTAAATTGAAATTTTAAGCAGTTTCAATTTATGTTATATCGAGTTTGTCAACCTATTTTTTATAATTTCGAAGGCAGATATATCTGTTTGGTATAATGTGTTTCAATTTGCATTACCGGATTTTCCCTTTGCTTCCGTGTATAAAATTGTTTTATTAGATCGTTTAACCTCTTTTGTGGTCCATTTTGCGTTAAGCGAGAAACAGCGGCAACCGAGGTCAAGAGTTAAACGTTAAAGACTTTCGTTAAATACCTATAAGTGATGTATCTGACCTTTCCGACGCAGATACACAGTTTAAATTCCGGTTGGTACTCTTTGTTCTGCTCTTTGAAAATGGGGAGGAATTTGTACTTGGTTGTTTTTTATTTTTTTTTTATTCAAATCATGTACCACGCAAAATCGTGTACTACAAATAGTCATCGGAATGAGTCGAGTCATACATCATATTAAAGCACTCTCAGTCGTGATTTCGGCGAATTTTAAAAATGTCTATGTCGAGAAAAACTGCTTGGAAACTTTTCAGTTTTAGAATAATTTCGAGCAATTAAAGCGATCGAGTAACGTTCGTTTTTAAAAAATGGGTCATTTAAGATTAGACAACTTTATTTAAACGAAAATTATTTTTGGAAGCTTCATTTAGCTTTTCTTTGGCAATAAAAGGTTTTTAAAACGTTTTTGAAAATTTTGTTTTCTTTTTTTTATTCTTTTTAAAGACAACTGTTCTAGATCATGCCTATTTCATTAATTTAACGTTCTACGCGTGTGTTAAGTTCTCTCATCACACGCGCAAGATAATTCTCTCATCACACGATCTCTCATCAAATTTTTTGTTTCTACTTTTTATCAATTTGGTTTAAGATTTCGATGCTACTTGCACAGCAACCGCTTTTCCTTGTTGCTACCAATTTTTAATAGATTTTTTGGCTAATTTTTATTGCCTCAATTCTTGAGGGCTTCGTTTACGGTCGATTTTAGTTATGCTAATGGTCAAATCCTTCATGCTAGTATTTCAATGTTCATCATGGTTTTGGACGAAACGCTGACAATATAGTTTCAGTTCCATTGTTCTGGAGCTGTACATTTTGAGATATTGAAAGCTTTTTAAATCTTCATGAATGAACTGAATTTTAGACCAATTCGGCCGTGTTGTCTTTTTTAACTTTTATTTTCTCGGTGAGAGTTTTTCCTCAGTAAGAGCTCGGTGAACTAATCAATTTTTCAATTTTCCCGTCAATTCAAATTGGTTAGATGAACATATGAACTGAATCTAAACTGTATTTAAATGCATGTGTCACGTTTTTCGTTATGTTAAAGCGTTTTTGCAACGGTTAAGCGCATAACGTATCTTTACAGTGTTAAACTATATCGTATATTGCAATTTTTAAATTTTTTTTGGTTTTCCAGTTTTGAAGTTCAGATATTTGGAAGGCCCAAATTTAAGGCTGTAGATCTGATACCAGCATGGGAAATGAGGGCAGCGCGGTGTAGTGTAGTGTAAAGTTGGAATTTATCCATCTAAACATAATGTATCGGGCGTTTTTCGTTTCAACGTTTCACTAGATTTTGAACACCATGGTGAGGTGCTATCAATGTTCTCCCAGCACTTTCAAAATTAGCCTACAATTATAAATACTCCAATTTTTTTTTCCAATTATGACAATTTTAGTAATTTTTCGAAATTTTTTTCTTAAGATTTGAAAAATCTTAAAAATTTGAAATTACCGGCCATATAGTTGTTTGCTTTCAGGGTACTCTCGAGGGTTGCAAATCTTGTTTTGTTTTCAAAATACTCAAATCTTGAAAGCTTGCAGGGTTTTTGTTGACTTTTGTTCCTCCGGATGTTTAATGATTTTTCTAAACTTATCAAACTATGTAGATTAAAAAATGTTTCTCAAAATTTAAAATAGTTGACCTTTTGGTGAAAATAATATCAGCGTACTATCCGCAGCTGCAGGTTTTGCCTCCATACGATTTCGAAAAATTTTAAAAATTTGAATTTTATTTTCTGTTAAGAAAATTTTTCAAAGAAGTCGTTTTTATAGAAGTCCTTTCTCAAAGAAGCTTGTTCTGAGCAATAACGCGTGATGAAACGATTCATGGCAGCATATCATTGTGGTGCCGGTTGGTGAAAGTATATAATTAAGTTAACAGGAATCTAATTATTTAAGCGAAATTATGAAAAGTGCAGTTTCATGAAGTGCAGCTGTCAGTCATTCTAAGTTTTTTGTTGAATTAAAGCGAAAGTCTGACTTTCAGTAGTTTCAGAGACATGTCTATCTAACTGTACAAAAAATTTTAAGATAAGTTTTTGGCCCGTTTTTGAAATTGAAAGCGTTTTTGAATGCTCTGACTATTCTGACGGATGCATATAATTATGGTGTTTTTTCATATACTTTTAAATAGGCATTTTCACGTTAATTAATCTGTTTGATACACTGGTCATACTTTTTTAAAGCCAGAAGCTATCTCGCTAGGTTTAAGCTATCTCTAATTTTTGGAAGTTACTAAACAAGTTATGCATGACTGATCTGGTCGTATTAAATAAGCATGTATCAGAAGCAAACTTATCCGAGATGCAAAAGGATATTTGCTCATATTTCTTCAGACGATATACCTGCGAACTTCAAGTTCAGGCAAGTGGCATAATTTTGAATGGTTCAACAGCTTTTTGAGACTACAAGTCACACGCTATCCTGTCTCCAAAATGCTGCCGAGGGTATTAAATTTTAAATGCAACTAATCTTTTTTGAACTTGAAATGATGGAGCAGAGAAATGTTCTGAATTGATGGAGCAGAGATTCATCTATTTGCACTATTGAGAAAGTTTTAATTTTCTCGATAGTAGCAAGTTCCGAAAAACAATTCGAAATAGTCGAGTAGTAGAGGATTCCAAAAGTTTACCTTATTTTATTCACTTCATCCCTCTATCAACTGCATTTTTATGTCGTACTATATCGGCAAGATCGGTGTTTCACAAAGCAGCTTTGCGAAAAAACATAGAAATTTCATGAAATGTTGTTTATAAAGGTTTCTTGAAATGTTGAGAGATAGATGTAGGGTGATAAGGTTTGTTCTATGAAACTCAAATGATTTTTTTTTGTTTTCCTCTGACTTTCAAATGTCTTCTTTTAAAAAATAGAACCGCCTAAAATATTGTTTTGCAGTCTCTAGTTTCTGCTTGGAAGATAATAAATGACAGAGAAGCGAAGCTGAACTTGGCTCAATTTCTAAGAAACGTCGTTTTTTTTAGCAAATGGCTTCCTCTGATTGTGTTAAATTGTTTTTCCAAAAAAATAATCGTAAGTTTCACAAAGCGATATGAATGATAATATTGCTAATGAATATATGAGTTTCAAAAAATGGTCAGATACTTTTGGCTACAAATCTGCTGCAAGTCTGATATTTTTTGGCTCAAAACTAGTCGGCAGGTTTTTCGGCCATTTTAATTTTTGAAACGAAAATCAGTTGGTCCTATTTTTGATAGTCAAGTGGTCTGTTTAATTGTTTGCTTGTGACGCAGAGTTGGAGTCTTCGTTGTGGCAAGGTGTGTTGCAGGGTTTTTTTTGTATTGAGGAGTTCTTCTACCGTTGTTGTTGTTGTTTGCGTCTGCGAAGTCCAGCTTCGCTTCTCTATCAAATCACGCATACAGTTGGAGCTCTTCATGTCAAGTAAAGTGAAAAACGACCAAAGTTAAATTGGTTTCAATTTTACACAAGACACCGCTAGTAGAGTTGGTTTGTAACATGATCCAGTTTTTTTCCCAGGTTTTCAATGTTTATGCGAATTATATACGCCTAAATATAGGGCATTTTTTCTGGTGTCAGCAGCCAGCATGCTCTTAGATTAAGGCAAATGGGATGTGACCATGACGTCTCTGGGTCGTATCGTGTAGTTTCTGCTGTCTAGTAAAGCGAATTTTAGTTGAAACCTTAGGGCCTGGCCAAGTTGAATTTTTAGGTAAACTAATTCAAATTTTTTATCAATAACTATTTTTAATGGTTTACTTAATGTCGTCTATTCGTCGCTTCACTTCCAGGAAGAAACTCAAGTTTGCTGAAACCAATGTTTGGACATTGAAACACTTAAAAATTAAAATTAGTTCGAGTTGCTAAAAATCAGGAAGGCGGCAGATTTCTTAACTAGTTAAGTACAATTCTGCAATTTTTTTGAATCGTTGCAAGTTTTGAGCAAAATTTCTTTGGTAAAATTTGCGTCATTCACGACTCTTTATTGACTGTGCCCTTATTTTCTGATGGCATATGCATATTGAATGCTAAGACAGATCTTGCTAGTTAGTCAACTGTTAGTTGGTCGAAATGTTTGAGACAGTTTTGAGGCTGATGTTTGTGGACCTCCCTCCCATTCCCATTGATTTATTATTTCGACGCAGTTTTGATGATCATCTACTTAACTTATCTCTAAGTAGTTTAATCACTGTCTAGTTTGGGGAGTCGTGTATTGATGAGGTTGTGTGTGTGTGTGATTAACTTGGACTGTGTTGGATTGGAGATTATTTGAAATTTGTTTTCCTTCTTTAACGATGGAGTAATTCGTAATATTCAGCACTGTTTGTTTGCCAACCTCGAACCAACTCACATTTCAAATGCCTTATCCTTAATAAATTCTAAGTTGCCATGATGCTTAACGAAATTCCTTCGACACTTTCGTTCTATCGTACGCTACTCTGCAAATACGAGCCAAATGAAACCCAAATGAGATTGATCCTTGCAACAATCGACATTCATTTATATCCATCACAGCTTCAAAATCAGCCGCTCCGATATCCTTATTGTACTGCCACTTACTAATCTTGTTAGCTCTCAGTGTGCCCAACTTTCTAAAGGCAAGACCCTGATTACCCAGCAAAGCAGGTACCAATCTTTCTCAAACACCCTTATCTCGAATACTTTCTCCCGACTAATAAGAAAAGGTCAATATTGAGTCTTCCCTCAAAATCACTCGCCTCAAAGTTTTCATTACTCTGAAACACACTTTGAAAATTTTCAATTCGCTTGAGAATGATTTCTGTTGAAGTCCAATTCGAGGAAGCTAAAAAGATAAGCCCCAAAATATCAGATCAGTGACTTAGTTTTTTTTAATGCTGTTAGATGTTCATTTTCGTTCTTTCATGTTTTCGAGATTGGAACGATGCGTGCGTACTTGTAAAAATTAAAGTGCCGAGTTTTATCCTCTTAGATATACTGTTTGCTTATTTTTCGAGAAAATTGCTGGCGTGATCATAAAAGAACAGCGATTACCTGTATTTTCTGCGATATATAGAAAACATAGCTGAAGTTTTAGCTGGCAAAACTATTTTCTGTATTGCAAATACAGTGGACAAAAATGACTCGATTGCCGCGAATTAAAAGTGGTCGGTACTGGTTTTATTGACCACTGTAATACACTGTGACTGAATGATGCAACACCAGGTATTTTTCATATGAAGCTATCCAAAATTATCAATTCAAGACGCGGAGAAAATACTTTAATTAATTGTGGTTGTGTTGCTGAAAAGTGGTTTAGCTGGCTTTTCAATTTTTTTGCTTGCTTTGTTTATGGCTTTTGGTCCAGTCCATTACTTTTGCCAGTACCAATAGAGAGAAGTTCTTTGCTAAACTGGAGATACCTGTGCCAAATTACTGTGTTTCTGCTTGTTCTCGGTTTTCAACCTTTCTGCATACTTTTCACATAAAATCATAACTACAAAGCTCCTCGTTACCTGAGGTATTTGGCCGTACCAGAACTGCAGTGTTTTCGTTTTAACCAGTCATTCCAGTTTTCTACGAGAAAAATCTCAAGAATTGATTTAGTTATTTTAACTGACTCAGTGTATGATTATTTCTGGAAAGGGGAGGAATTTAGGCTTGTGTTTGCACACTTAGCCAATTATCATCGTCATCGAAATAACTTGCCGGTGTTTTGAGCAATTATCTCCGTACCTTAAACAAACATTAAACGTGCGATTAAATATCGAATCATCACCATTTGATCATCAAAGATTCCCATAACCACTTGAAATCAGTTGTGAAATATCTGAGAACATTTTTGAAGGAGCTGAAACTAATAATAACATTCCAGAATCCAGAACAAAAATCATCATTCCATCTTCAAGCCGCATGGAATTGCAATCATTTTCACGATGTTGACTTCACAGCTTGAATAAAAAGCTTTCGTAAGGATTCCTGTGTTGATTACTTGGCCAGGTTGTTGAAGTTTTATGTGTTTTGTCCTGTGACAAACTTTCATCATTTTGCGTTACGCTCAGCTATAGAGACGGTTGATCCTTTTCCGCCTAGACACAAAAAACTGAAACGCGTTTAAACTGGTCGTCGCCAATTATACAGTCTGCCATCGCGTTTTAAATTCCTAAACACTCAATTAAAGCGCCATAGGCTGAAACGTGTTCAAACATTCGCTGTTTCCATTTTCGGGTTAGAACAATCCGAGTACCTGCCAGAACGAACGCGATTCCTAATTGGTGGTTTTCATTCCGACAATAATCCTCCTTCAACTTTCACTTTCATTTGCTATACGCCTCGTGGAATTAAGCGAGCGTTTCCTGCTTTCAAAAATTACAGAAGTTTCCCATGTTTTGATCATTTAAGGTGAGTTACCAAAATAGACATCTATTGTTCCCGATCAAACAAATTACGGGGATACCTTAATTATCAGCATCTATTTAGTTTTCCCACACTCATTTTATTAGAAACTTTTCCTGCCACTGATTTGCACAGAGGTGAGCTCTCCAATTTCTCACAGTTCGAAACATCCCTGCTGTAAAACCCAAGCCAAGTTAGTCCCTAGGATTAGATGCGACACTTGTTTAGCGCGTCTTGCTATAAATCAGTTAGAAGCAGCTCTCCCAGAATTGCTGTTTACGTTTAGAGGGAACGATTCTTGATCCCGTTGATTCAATCAATAATCGACCCGCTTTAATCAAGTGCTCTTTGCTACAAAATACTTTCACAATCGGACTCAAAATCTTACTTGTAGAGTAATGCGACATCACTGAGACATCAGCATCGTCAAATCCTTAATGTTAATACTGATAACGTGCCAATTATTTGGTAAAGCAAATATTCCAGATATACCGACATTTACTTTGCTCAGATTGTAGCCGCGGATATCTTTGCCTAGTTAGCCACTTCCTTATTCCCTTTATTTGTCCAAAGTATTCCACTTGACTTTCAGGACCAAAGCTCCAGTAATTAGAAGAACAAGGAATTAGGAAGTTCACAGGAATAGTTAAGTTTTGCGTATGTGCGCCAAGTTTCGTCAATCACTTCATTTCACTAGCATCGTTTTATTGTTGACGGAGGAACTAGAAAGAAATTGTCCCAGTTTCCTAAACCCCAAGTCTCGACATTTTATTGCTTGAGTTTACCTTTAGTCATCAAATCCACTACTTTCTACCGTACATAATTAATCACTGCTGTAGTGCTTATCAAATCATCTTAGCCCCAAACTGTAGTTGCCTTGTTCTGTTCCCTACCATACCACAACTGTAGAGAAAGAACTCCTAGCTTTGGTTTCATTGCATCGTTTGCTTTCTTGCCTTAAATACACTTAGCACAGTGCCTTATTTATTCGTGATCCTTATTTTCTCGTTTGCCTTCAACCTTTGCCAAACGTTTGCCTGAAATTTAATTCAGCAAAACTAGTTTATCAATTAACCAAATCGAGTTATTAGTGCTTACTAGCTAACTCAGCTCCGAACTTCAGGAGCTCTAAATCACAATCTTAAAACATGGATATTGTTAGATCCTTCTCCGAAGACATGGGTCGCTTCCTCGACAGTCTGACCACAGAACTCAAGGTCGATGCCGAAGAAGCCGACTCTCGTGATCAGATATCTCCGAGCTCCACGTCAACGTTGAATACCCCAAACTCCGCTCCCCAGCGCACTCCACCTTCGGCCGGAAAAGACTCAGGAATCTCCGATGCTTCCCCGAGTTCGAGTAGCAGCTCATCTTCGATCGGATCCGTAATGATTTCCGCTCTACCGAAACCTCCTAGTGGGAAGAAGTCTAAAATCGACGACATTGCGTGGAATCTAGCTTGTGAGCCGAGCTCCACAACCAAAGACGAGGATGACGTCAGTACTGCAATGGCTGCAGACGAGGCAGCCGATTTCTCTTCTCTAGTCAGTTCTCCTGTCATGGAGATTCCCAGCTTCCCCGCCGACATCAGTGAGTTTCTGGGTTCGAGTAGTGAATTGATCGACAGCGGGGTCAAAACGGGAAACGGAGACCCACTGGACTTAGGAGTGGGAAAAAGCACTCCTGCATCTAGACGCGGAAATCGTAAGTGATTTAATTTTTTCTTTCATCGATGTGGATGGATGTTCCCAATGATCCCAATCCCAGTTACGGTTTTCTGTTTTGATAACTGAAAATTTTGGTCTAAATTTGATAGTTAACGTGCGAGAATGGTTTAATCAACCAGGGCAGGTCTAGGATTTTCTCGAGCGAGATTTTTAAAGAACTTTGACGTCCTTAGCTCGATCAAATTGAACTTCACAGTTCTCTCCAAGCACTACTCACCCCTATTGTGACAAAATTTCCAAGCTAGCGGCAATTTTTTCAAAAAACACGCCTAAAGTTTGTTTTGGTGCTCTTTTCGGAATCTAGGGGGACTAAAGGGCATTTTTTATCATAAGAGTGAACCTTGTAAAAATACATAGTGAATTAGCATTTTATGCAATTTCTTAAAATAGATTTCTTAAATTAACTCGTTGATAGCATAACCATTTGATTGACACCAATCATTGAACTCTTCGTGAGCATATTTATTGGAAAAAGTGCTCGCGCATTGCTGAAGGGGTTGAAGATCCTTCGTTTTTTTTTAATAATTTGGCTCAAGACTGCTGGGGTTAGTTTTCATTTCTATTTATGAAACTTATCACCGATTAATTTTTTTACATAATATGGTTCCACAAAATGGAATCGTATACCGCACGGAATCCTTTGTCAAATAAATGAATTGAACTAGCGAAACAACAACAAGGCGTTATTAAATCGGTAAAACCAATCGGCTATCTTGTTTAGCAAGCTTCCTATGTGTTATTTTCTAATCATTTCACTAATTCTTGATTTTTTTTTGCTCTTCAATTTGGACGATTTTAGAATGAAGAGCGATACTACCGCTCTGTGTTGTTTTCTCCAACCAACCAACCTCGTAGCCCGCCTCCCCCTTCTACTCGTTCCTCTTCTTTCTGCCTCGTGAAAACATAGTATTACTACCTCTCTAATCAGTTGTCAACAAATGGACTGTATTTCCCATTTAGGCGAAAAGTAAACTTGATTAAGTTTATACCTTTTAACTAGACAAACAAGTTGTTGAATTAATAAGACTATTTGATTGCCGTGGGAACGAAATCTCCCAAACAAATTCGCAATTTCTTGTACCTTATTCGCAACTTAGGGACAAAACGTCGGTAATATCTCCCTCCTCTACTTGAATTCAGTCCCTCGCCCTTGTTTAGATGAATCACTCAGTACACAGTATAATGGACATGTAATCTGGAGGACAATCAAAGGGCAGATCTTGTGCCAGCTTATAGATTTTGTTTGCAGTCCCCCAAGAAAGGCAAAGTGCCACATGGGGGGATCTGAAGTAGTTTTTGTTTACATCAAACTTCAGTCTCGTTTACTCTATCATCCTATCTTTCTATCTTGACTCTGAATTCGTCACATGTTGACGTTGATGTCGAAATAGGAAGTCATATTTGCTTCTTTTAAGTCCAGGGGCCATATCAAGGAATGTCGGATCCGTTCGGTACTACATCTTTGTCTTACGATATTTCTCAAAATGGGAGATGTTTGGTTAAGGCATTTTGTTTGAGATGTAGGAGTAGGGCAAACGGTGCCTGGATGGTATGATGTTCGCTCGTCAGTAATCGTACCTGGATCTTTCTGCTACTTTGCTACAATAAATTCTTGACATAAGATTTATTCAAATATACTTGGGCATGATTTTTCAAATATCGCAATCCTAGTAACTTTCTCTATAGAATAATCGCACAATACTCCAACGTTTTTTTTGTTTAGCAAACAGACCATATAAGTGCGAAGTTTGTGGACTTGCCTTCACCCAAAAAGGAAATCTTTCCCGACATAAGCAAATTCACACTCCTTTCAAGCCATTCAAATGTGACGTGTGTGACTACGCCTCGCGACGAAAAGATGCCCTGATCAACCATCGATCCACTCATTGTGTGGAGAAGCCGTTCAAATGCTCAAAGTGTAAACTAGCCTATAAGCAGAAATCGTCTTTGCGAGATCATCTGAGATCAAGTCACAAGCTGACGACTGAAGAAATCCGAGAAATCTTACCGCCTGATAACATACTTCCGGGGACCGGATTCGAAATGAATAACGGACAGCCAGCTATAAAGAGAAAGACGAGTACTTCGCCAAGCTTGAATAACTCGGACGTTTTGAGTGGATCCGAAATGGGAGCGTTTGATAATGGGAGCAGTGGGAATCGAACCCCGTCTCCTTTAAATGGCAGCGGAAGAGTCAGCCCAGACGACGAAAGGTCGCAAATCATCAAAAAAATCATCGTTGAATGTAAGTCAATAATTCTTTGTCAATGTCACCCTCTCCTGGAATTTTTGGGCTACTCGAGCTCGATGATATTTTATACTCGAAACCCATCAATACTATCATCTAATTGTAATCGATTGTAATAGTTTTCTTAAGCGTTTCAACGACAAACAACCTCCATATAATAATCACGAAACAGATGTTTTTATTGTAGCTAGCACTGGAGAACCCGAGGAACATGAGGCAAGCGTCCAAGAGAAAGAACAAGAGCCGATGAATTTCTGCAAGCGAGAACAAGAGGACTCTCCAAAAGCTGAGTTTGCAGAACGCAAAAGAAGCAATTGCGATCAGCCTGAAGATTTGTCTGTCAAGAAAAAGAATTCATCGCCTATCAGACAGGTATGTTTCTTTCCCAATTTTAGATATCTGAGTAGTTAAGCCTGCAAATATCTTAAAAAAGGAAAGCAACCATTGATTGAGCATCATTTTTTTTTTTGGATTTTGGCTCAAATATTTGGACAGCCTTAAGCATTGGTAATTGATGGAAAAAGAAATCAGTATCTCAACAGAATTGTCTTTTACAGGACGAGAAAAAGGAAAAGGATGCCAAAACAAGTCACAGTTTAGCCGAAAAGCAAGCTCAACTTCTCCAGCAAGCCATCAGAACACAAACTGCACACATGGGGTCAGCAAACAGCCAGTTCGCTAATGCAAACCAAGCAACTCCAGCTGCCACAATGGCCTACCTTGGGGCTCTATTTGGCAACAAAGGAAATGGGTTTACGAACAACGTCGGCCAAAATCCAATGACGGCATCGATGACCGCTGCACAACAAGCACAAGCCTATCTGTACATGAACGCAATGAAACTGCAGGAACGACAAAATCAAAACTACTGGAAAATGTACAACCAACAGATGAACGGAGCTAAGACTTCTAACGTTGCACCAAGCTCCTTCCTTGGTCATTGGAATGCCCAATCGCCCAACGCTGTCTCCGCTGCAAGTTTGACCCCGTTTAGTTCTCCGGCAAACGTAAACAAACAAGTGCTGACACCGAGAAACTCAGTGACAAACAACGGAACCTTGTCTTTGTCGCCGCATATAAAACACGAGCATGAAGGATCCCCTGATAAAAGTGCCACTTCGCTTGCTGATTGTTCTCCCTCCCCTAATGGTAGCTCGTTCAAATTGTGCGAGCCATGCCGTGCGAAGCACTTAGAGTGCGAAACATGTCAGATCTTGTTCACGGACACAGTCATGTACACGATTCATATGGGCGTGCACACTAAATCCAACCCCCTCCAGTGCAACATTTGTGCGTTTGTTGCAACTTCGAGCTATGATTTCGCGTCACACTTAGCGCGAGGAGATCACAAAGCGTCTGATACTTCGACCAGCGAAACGCCGGCGGAATAAACTGTACAGTAAACGATATTAATGTTCCCAATCAAACTTGCCTTATAACATTATGACTTAACATTTTCAAACTCATTTAGATTAAATATTCGCCTCAAAAAATTGTGTGCCTTCATTTCCTTAATCAACTTGAAGTGTCCTTTTGATTTCTTGTCCAAATTGTCTATCTTTTCTCTTAAACAATTCCATTTCTGACATATTGATTGTTGTCTTGACGATTGTGTTACAGTCCGTGATAACTGAAATTATAGATCCAAATATTTTTGTACATATATTTCACTATGTTCAATACAATTAGAATTTTTCTGTTTCGGATCTGCTTAAACATGCGAAGCGTAGTGTGATAGTGCGATGCCTTATCTAAGTCGCAAAAAAGTCTTCATTGAAAGTGTTCACTTATTTGGTGGCACTTTTGATATAATCTAGACCTGTAGCGTTTAAATTTCATAGCACATGTTTTCTGCTTTTTGGGGCTAGTGTTTGCCGTTAGTCAAGCGTCTGTGCCTCACAAGGAAGGACGTGAGCCTCCTAAGCTACTTGGCTGAGGTTCACCGCCGCAGTAAGCACTAGTTTTTTCGTATTTGGCATTTTTGCTGCCCAGCATTGGAAAGGTTTTCATCTTAGCTAAGTAAATTTTTGATGTGCCGTGGCGCAGATGCAAAAATGTAAGACGCCAAATCTCTAGGTTCGAATCTGTCACATTACAAAATTTAAATAATTCGACCCTTTTTCTTTTTAGAGCTGCCTTTTGTCGTTTCACACTTCTGTTTGCAAAGCACAGCCTCACTTTGTTTTAACCTAATGGATTATATCAAATGATTTAATAATTCTCTGCCATCCTTAACGAAACAAGACTGCTCGTATCGGTGTAAATGTATCAGTGCCATGACCTTTACGATTACTTTTCAAGATCAATGAGTTAGTGTTAGTTTTAAAAACAGGATGAAGTTTCAAATCATTGATCATTAAATCTCGCCACTTACACGTTAAAAGAACCAAATATATCGAGCGTTGATTATCCAAAATTGGGAATCGTGCAGCCCCCATAACTTAACTAAACTAAAACAGGCAAAAAATACTGCATAGACTTTTATGTCTACGACAAATTAGACTCGATTTTCAGTTTTACGAGACGTTGACCCCGACAAAACTGTTCCGACTCTAGTTGTTCTAGTTGTTCCGACTTTCGATACGAAAAGTTACGTTTAAAGGTTGCTAATTCGTCTTAGAAATCGTTCCAATTTGATTGAAGGAAGCTTATTTGCCATAATTGGTTTGTTACAATATCGAAATCTATTCTTTTGTACTTTATATGGCGTGTGGGGTGATGATTTTCATTTAAAAAATTTCAAATTGTAGAAAAATTTTTAATTTTTCATTTTATTTTATTACATTAAATTTTTTTAAAAGTTAATACTGCTCCATAAACCTCAAAAAGCAGTCGGAACATTCAGGGCTTCGCCCTGATACGAGCAGTCTTGTTTTGTTTTGACTTGAATTTCTTGTCTGGATGAATCGCGTTTGATCGTCTGATGAGTTTGATCTATAAAAGAACCTAATAGTAAACTAATAGCCATAGTACATAAAATCGAGAAAAGTTCTCCAATAAACAATAAAAATTTGTAAGTGCGGTTTGGCCGCGCGGTAAAGTCATTGGTTTGAAGATCAAAAGGGAAAAAATTCGGATAAAAGATTCTGTAATTTGGTTGAAACTTCAAATGAAAAACCCAAATTCGCGTTAAGCAGGGAAAACCGATATGGGTTGACTTGGCTGGATAAGATTGGAGGGTAGTTTTCAATCATCGCATCAATTATTTTGCCAATTCTAAAACGGGTCCGCCTCAATTGAAACTGCAAAGATAAAAATCAAATTCGGAAAAATTAGTGAAATACAGGGTTATTGCAATCGGGTACTAGATTTTCCCCATGCAATATTTTGTGCACAGAATTGTCAAATTGTATTCAGTATAATTTATACCAAACGGTCTATATATATGATTAAAATAATAAAATGGTTACTGTGTTGGCCTTTCGTTTACGGTAAGAGTTGCCTTTTAAATTTTATCAGATTCGAAACTTTTTAATAGGTATTCAGCACCGAGGTTGTCCGTATTTAAATTCTTACGGTTTAATTTCCGAAAGTTTTAAATCTATAAGTTAGTTGCTTTTATAACGTCTGCTCTCTAAACAGAAATTTTTTCAAAACTTCCGTCGTACAATCGTTCGTCACTTAGTTTTTTTTCGGCTTTGTTGCTGTTTCACGGACATTCTTTGACATACGAAGATTCAGCTTTCTTCTAATAATCTGAAATCCAATAGTAGAATTAATTGAGCTATAATTTTTCGAGAATATTTGTTGCTGTTTAAGAATTTTTTTTTATTTTAGTTTTTTCAAAAGTTTCTGCTTTATTGGTTAATGAGCACGGAACTATTACGAATGCATTTTACGTAGTCGCAATGGGCATTGTTTTTTTTACCGCTACGTAATTTGTGTTCTGATGCAAGTTTACAGTTAAGTTGTCTTATTTGGCTTGTCATATATAGTATCTAATCATATATTACGTGTTGGCGCCATTGGTTAGCTATGTGTCTGGTGCGGCTACTAATTAATTAATACCTGTCAACCTTAAGTTTAGTCTGCGATGTTTGGATTCACTGTTGTTAACCGTTAAAGAATAAACGAGTCAATTTAAGTTCAGTGAATTAAAGATATTGAATCCGCATTTTTCACATGGCGTAGCAAGCAGGACAAAGCGCGGGATCAGGAAAAAATCCACTGGGAATTACGGCATTTTGGCCGAGTAAATGTACGGAAGCACCAATGTTGTGGGAGCATTGGATTACACGATTCACCTGGGGTGTAATAGCAAAACATTCATTCAATCCGACGGCATTTTATTTTGCTAATACGCTCACTGAGGCGCAAATTACCGGTCTGCCAGAGGAGGTGAATGGGAAAAATCGAGTGGAAGCAGAGCAGACACTGATTTCTAACCTCTATTTGTGTTTGGGGGAACGTGGACAGGACGAATTACATAACCGGAAGCCCCATCTGGACCTGGCGACTACCCGATATCCACGGGTTTTGGATGAATTTGAGAGTGTTTTCCGCAAGGAAAGAAACGAAACATTCGAGACGTACCAGCTACTATCTCGGAAACAACGTGACGGGGAAACGCTAGAAGAATTTCACTCCGTTTTGAGTGGACTAGCCGCTAGATGCTCACTGGGAACATTGGAACGACGGGTGTTACGTGATGTATTCATAGTAAATATGTCCAACAAGGAAGCTCAAACGGAGCTATGCCGTTCAACTAAGACACCAGATGAGGTCTACCGGATTGCTTTGTCATATGAACGGGGGGACAAATACGCAAAGTCATATAAAGTATCCGGTGGGGGACTTACTGCGGCACCAGCGGGTTCACTACAAATTAAAGCGGAGCCTATAAGCGCAATTAGAGGAGGGTACCGTCGTCCATTCCAAAGAGGCGGACGTGGATTTGGCAGGGGCGGCACAAGGGGCCGCGGAGGAGCAGCAGATCGCAAGTGCTACAATTGCGACCAGAGTGGTTTTACCCCGGACCACATTCCAAAGTGCCCAGCAAGAAATGTAACCTGCAACTTTTGCAAGAAAATGGGACACTATGAGCGAACTTGTAGAGGACGTCGATCGGCGAATAGGGGTCGCGTAGGCATGATAAATGAGGATGACACCAATGGCGGGACTACCCAAGATTATCCGGAGGAGAGTGCATCCAATTACGGAAGTTCTGTCGGATGGGTGACTGATTCAAAGAAACCGGCACATGGATGGTATTCGGATAGTTCGACGGAGTATGTGGTTATGTCAATTCGGCGGAAGGAGGAAACTGAACTAAAAGTCGCGGGGGCCAAACTAGCCTTAAGAATCAACGGCAAAGCAACTCAGGCCTGGATTGACAGTGGTTCGCCAATATCCATCTTCACTATTGGGGAACTAAAACGTACCCTGGGGACAGTCAACGTACAATTGAAACCGCTGAATCCACAAGACGACCAATTCCGCGATTACGGAAACAATCCGTTAAAATTTCTGGGCAAGATGCAAGTCACGCTTCATTCCAATGGATGGACTTGTTCGTCGGATATAAACGTCATCGGAGGGTGCCGACCGTCTATTATTGGCAGGGATTTAATGCCCTCACTAGGACTGATGCTGGTACAAGCACCATCGACAGAAGGGGTGAAAAGCATACATACCACGGAAGGAACTGTGGCGATGGACAATGACCTGGATGAGTGGCAGACACATTTCTGTAAGCAATTTCAACATCTTTTTCACAGGGTAGGACGCATTCGAAATTATAAGGTGCAGGCAGATTTCTTCAAAAACCTAACTCCAATTCAACAAAAAGGTAGGCGAGTACCTATAACATTACAGGAAAAAGTCGATAAGGAGATTGAAAAACTGTTGGGACAGGGTCATATCCAAAAGTTGGAAGAATGTTCAGACAAATATTTTGTTTCACCTATTGTCATCACCGTGAAAAAGGACGGTTCTGTTAAACTTGCACTGGAATCTAGAGAACTAAACAAACAAGTGCATAAGAATAAATACCAAATGCCCAATATTGAAGAACTAATGGACATCGTAGGGCAAACTATCAGCGAACGCAAACAGGGGGATGTTTTTTTTACAACGATGGACCTCACGTACGCATACGGTCAACTTCCTTTAAACGAAAACACTAGTAAACATTGCAATTTTTCATTGGTGGGAGGCCGTTCTACCGGTACATATCGATTCAAAACAGGATTCTACGGATTGACAACCATGCCGGCGGAATTTCAACGGGTCATGGATGCCATTTTGGCTGAATTTCCGTGCGCGCATGCGTTCATTGATGATATATTAGTAATTTCGAAAGGTACCAAGATCGAACATATCGCTTTAGTGGAGAAGATTTTAATGAAACTCGATAAAGAAAATATGGCTTTGAAGCTAGAAAAATGTCAATTTGCGAAAAATACTTGCGAGTGGTTAGGCCACCGGATTACGAAATCAGGGATTACACCAATGGTGCGGAAAACAGATCCAATTGACAAATTAACCGCCCCGAAAACGCTCTCTCAGTTGAAATCGTTCATGGGGTCAATCCATAGTCTTCACAAATATTTACCGGCGTTAGCGGAAACTTCGGCGCCTCTACGTCCACTTCTA